TTACCTTGTTTAATAGCATCTTTGCAGAGGATGCTGTCTCTAAAGGACTAAGTCAACAGTAGTGCATCAGTTACTATCCTTTGGTGTCTTGTTGGTCTGTAGAGTGAGTTAGGCTGCTCGGTTTTGTTTTGTGCTCCCTTGATGGGCTTTCTGTGCCCAAAACGCACTTCAGTAGCAATGAACTTTGCAAAATTCATTCTTTGTCTAAACTGGCTAGTGCTTCTGAGTATTTCCAATACAAATACTAATCAGGGTAACGGAGTGTTCCTACTTGTACTTGTGACAGAGAAAACAGCCCCGTGCTATGCAGAGAGACATTCTCGTGCATTTTTGACATGGAATTGAAGGCAGACAGTGGGTAACCAGCAAGAATTACTCCGGAGGACCAGGACCTAGCCCTTTAGTACCAGATCTGACAGCCAGTATTGCATTACATTTCTTGGAGGCAAGAGTTACATTTCTGTATTTCAAATCAAATGATGTAGTGGTTTGGGAATGAAGAGGAGAAACAAAAAAGAACCATGTACCCTTCAGATAGATTACAGGTTGCAGAGCCAAGGGCTTTGAACTTGAGGTTTTTTTCCTTCGGGGTCCTGATTTCAGAAACAAAAACTTTAAAAGCTCATTTTCCTTGCAAACAACTTGGTAAGAAAAGAAAGGCAAGTCTATGATAAATGGATTATTAACATTCAAAATAAACTGCATATGAAAAACCCCACACCAATAGCGAAACATCTCTCAGGTCCAGCTCTCTTTTTTTTTCATTAGTACTTCAATTTATGTGTGTTTATTCTGTTTTTATTCCGCAGACCTTTAAAGAGGATAAATACTTGAAAGATGCTATGGACTGTAGTGATGTCATCTGGCAGAGAGGTTTATTGAGAAAAGGATACGGGATCTGCCATGGTACTGCTGGCAATGGCTACTCCTTCTTGTCTCTCTATAACCTAACTCAGGACAAAAAGTACCTCTACCGAGCTTGCAAGGTGAGCTCTGCGGCATCCCAACAAAATTGCTGTTTCCTTTCGTTTCATAACAGCCCTGCAAGAATAAACTGTGATCGGAGTAGGCTGTTGTGTGCTAGATCTGGAGCTGGCTGGCTGCGTGGCTGGGGGGGACAACAGTGTCCCAGCACTCGCTCCTCTTACCTCACACTTTGCCTGGATGACTTCAGCTGTGTACGTGGGGCATGCACCGTCTTGGTACGCAGAATGGAAGGCACAAATGTTCTGTAAGGGGGGAGGAACTAATCACAACAAAATAGAGTCTGAAAGTCAGCCTGCCTGAACAATAACAGGCTAATGTTATGTGGTGCTAATTATTCCACTGAGACATCCGTTGTCATCCTCAGCTCCTCCAGTGATACTGTTTGTAGTCTTTTGTAATTATTTGTTTTCAGACTAGTGTCTGTTTGGGGCTTTTAGAGCTCTGAATTGCAGTTATTAAATTACTCACTCTAGATTCTTTTTTTCATTAATACAAATTGAAGAGAAAGGCACACACGGAATTTTTCCACTAGAATTGTCCAAGTTCTGCTATCAGCTCTGACTGTGCTAGCAGTTACCAAAGGAGAAGGCTTTCTCAGCCTCTGCTTCTTCATCTCATAAGACTTTGGTTTGGTTTTGGGGTTTTTTTTCAGCTTAATTAATGGATATTCAGTTTTGCATTGCATACATAGTTATCTAGCTGAGGCCTTTTTAGAAGTATTGTAATGGGAAATCTGACGAGTTGCTTCTTAGGTGCTTTCAGATGAGCACTGGCCACATGCAAAGCTATTGTATTCATCTCCACTGTCAGTCAGCTTTCCTCCGTCAGCAGAGCTTTAAAGACTGTCTCACCTTACCTTTACCAAAGCATCACACCACGAGGACACCTGTAAGCGTACCTGCATCCTAGAGAACGTAATAAACCCCTGGCACTCCCGCGGCAAACGTCTGACTGTGTTACGTGTGGACTCGCCCGCTGCTGACTTCCAAGCCACAGCACCAAGCAGGCGTTGCTGTCGGCACGGCTGTCAGGCTCTCCCTGTCATCCCCCGTGCTAGTACATCTTCTGGGGCTTTGTGCAGCATTGGCAGCTCCTGTTGGAGTGGCATTTCTGGCCCAAGAGACCCCTGATGTTCTTCCATACCAAACTAGAGAAAAGCAAGCATATCTGTTTCAAAGCTGAAGAAGGAAGAGGACTCGGTTACTTACCTGAAATCCCTTTGAGACGGAAGATGGGGCAGAGTGACCAAAGACCGTTTGCTGGAGGTGCCCAGCACAGTCAGCTCTGGCAGTGTATTCGCAGCCCTTCTGCATTTTAGCATCTCCAGCGCTCAGTCGCACCCTTCAGGTGCTTGCAAAGGAAATCGTGACACAGGCAGAAGAATTTGCTTGCCTGGCATTCTTGACGTCTTTTCTTTTTGAGTCAGAGCATGCGGGGAAGCAAGCGTGCAGTTATGTTGGTACCTAAAGGCATGTAACTGCAAGAACTAGGTGGTTTCCTGTCCCTGGGGTGTTGGCTCACGCTGAAAGCATGAGGCCCAGGGGAAGGAGTCTGGCCTATCGCTAGTTACCTGGGAGAAGAGACCAACACCTGCCTCACTACACCCTCTTTTCAGGGAGTTGTAGAGAGCAATAAGGTCTCCCCTCAGCCTCCTCTTCTCCAGACTAAACAGCCTCAGCCGCTCCTCATCAGACTTGTTCTCCAGACCCCTCACTAGCCTCGCTGCCTTTCTCTGGACACGCTCCAGCCCCTCAATGTCCTTCTTGGAGTGAGGGGCCCAAAACTGAACACAGTACTCCAGGTGCAGCCTCACCACTGCCGAGTGCAGGGGCACAATCCGCTCCCTACTCCTGCTGGCCACACTGTTCCCGATACAAGCCAGGATGGCGGTGGGCTTCCCACCTGGGCACACTGCTGGCTCATGTTCAGCCGGCTGTCGACCAACACTGCAAGATCTTTTTCCACCGGGCAGCTTTCCAGCCACTCCTCCCCAAGCCTGTAGCGTTGCATGGGGTTGGTGTGACCCAAGTGCAGGACCCGGCAACTTGGCCTTGTTGAACCTCATACAGTTGGCCTCGGCCCATCGATCCAGTCTGTGCAGACTGGGTAAACCAGAAGAGCTTGAAATGCTGTGGCTCACAGAGACCCCTGGTTTGTGCTGCTCGCTTTTGGTTTCGCAGCTTTGCTCCAGCATTATCAGACAGGCTCCCAGGAGGTTGAGCCGCTCCGTGAGAGAAGAGAGAGAGGGGCTGCTGCATCCTGGGCTCCAGGCAACAGAGAGCATCTGAGCCCTGTGCTGCTCAGCGTTGTGGTTAAACCGCTGCTGATAGCAAGCATGCGTGGTCCGTGTGACAAATAATGGCAGATGTCTTCTTGCTAGGAGATACTTCATTTTTTTTTTACCTCCTTGGTTTAACACAGTTACTAGTGTGGCTTACTGGCCCTGTGAGTCGTGCTGAAGCTATGAACTTGTAAATGATGGTTGTGCTTCAGTAGCCTGGGGTGCATTTTTTGAATTTCTGTTGCAGTTCCCAGGCTGGCGGTAATGATAAAGGCTAGCGTGCAAGAAGACATGGATGTTGCAAGAACTGGTTGTAGTTTAGAAACATGCCATAAACATGTTCTGTCCTCACAGAGAAGACAAGATTACATGGAGAATTAAACCTTGGCTTGAAGATTTATACCTGTGGGAGGCCAAAAATTGTTTTGCCAGTTCTCAGTGACGGTGCGGACCACAGTGTTTGTGGGGTTTTTGCTGGGTTTCCTCAAGACATTCACGCACACGCACACACCCCTACCAGGAGAAGAAAAATCCATCCCCCAAGAAGCATTTAACCAGAGGAGATGCTACCCTTTATCCTCCTGTTGAACAGACTGATGTCTCTGGGGGGCATACTGACACCCCATATAGCCCCAACGCTAGAGCCGGGGCACCCTCGAGTTCGTAGGGTGAGCTGTTTGCTGGCAGCTCGGCCAAATTGCGGGGTGGGCGGGGAGGGACCTCTCAATTCTTTGCTTCGCAGGCATCTTTGCACTGTACTTTGAATAAGCAGTGGTTTGCTTCCAAGCACAGAAAAGCCAGGGGAGCTTGCGGCCCGTGTATGCTCCGGGGAGTCATAAAGGAGAAACAGATGGTTGCTATTAAATTGATCCAGGTGCGGTGCGCAAATCGTGTATGTCTGATGTAGCAGTGTTGATCAAACACCAGAAAGACACTGTTTAACTTTTTAACGGTTTTCCGTCTTCTGAACAAAATACTGATGACCATAATTGTCTAACTGTATTCATAACGATTTTTCATAAGGCTTAGGGAGAGCAAATAAATAAAACTAAGTAGTGGCAGCTGGAGATTTAATACCCTAAATTAGTGCATGGAAGTGAAAGAAAACCAAAATGCAGTTAACAATCCTAAGCCCTGAGCACGTGGATAAATTAAGCACCAAGACAGACAAGAAACTGGTATCACAGTATTAGAAAAATTTTGCCCTTAAAACTGAATATATCTGTTCTCGCAGCATTTTTCATTGACGTGTAGCAGGGTTGATTTACAGAAAGCAGAAGTTAAGTACAGCCCACCTAATTATGTTGTTATGAAACTGAAACTCGTGCTGTGGAAGTACAAATTCTAAAACCTAGTTGCAGCTTTGTCACGGTAGAAGTGGGACAAATTGATCTCAGACAGCGATTTCTGTGTTGTGTCTCTGCTTACACTACTTCAAATTTAGCGCCTGTTAAAGATAAGCAGATACTGAAGCTTGCGTTGAACAGTCTTAAATAAAAGAAAAATAATAAATCTTTTTTTAATGTTCTCCCCAGTTTGCTGAGTGGTGTTTGGAGTATGGTGCACATGGATGTCGTATTCCTGACCGACCTTACTCTCTCTTTGAAGGTAAAGTGATGATGTTGCAGATGGTGTTGTACCACACAGGACAGAAGGGCAGCCCTGCAGTTCTGGCACAGGAGTTGAGAAATCTTTTGTGGGTTCTCCTACTGTTAAAAATAGACCCACCGCCTAACACCAGCTCTGCCTAAAAGAAGGAAGGCGATGGAGGGGGCAAAAAGACAAAAGCAAATTATTCACCATCACGATTTTCAGTTTTGGTTGCTTTTCAGCAGTTTCCAATGTAAAGCCAGTGCCACCATTCTTCTTGAATAAAATTCTGCTGTGCTGGTGCCTCTTTGCTTAGAGCAAACCCAAGTCTGGGCAACAGTTTTGTTGCGGGTGTTGTTGCAGAGGGACTGGGCCGAGGAGCAGCTGTGGGTAGGGGGGTCTCAAAGTAGCTACTGGCTTGTCGGAGCTAGACCTTCTCTGCTGCCGTACTAAAGCAAGGAAAAGCTAGTTGTGATACGAACCCAAACCACTTCATCAGAAAAAGAAAAGAAATGCAGAGTTCTTAGGGACTTTTCTGCAAGTTCAAAGATCTTCCTAAAAACTCCTAGAGTTTGGTATTTTTTTTTTAATTCGTGGTTTTTTCTATTTCCTATGTCATCCTTATGTTTTAGAAACACAGTAGCAAGGAATCGTAGACCCAAGTAGGGTTTTAAGTAGCGCCGCTGTTTCGTGAACAATGAGCCGAGTGTGCCACCTATCACAAATATGCGAAATTACAGCAGACCGAATAGTTTTACAAATAACCCAGTCCAAGGTGTGAACACAAGGGAGCAGTAGTTACATGCATCCTTCTAAACACAGAGTTATTGTCTTAGTGCTGAAGAGAGAAAAGCATAAGTATTCTTATTGCTGGGCGCTCCCTTGCACGCACTTGTAGAGGGGAAAAAGCAGGCATACAGTCTGCTGTGCAGGAGCTTTGAGATCTGTTGAGAAGGTGAAGTAACGCCAACAACGCGATGACTTGCGCTTGAATGCTGACATCCAGCTTTTATTTTCGTTTTTTCAAGTCAGTGTTTTTTTCAGAAAAATTTAGAAGTCTCAAAGTTGAGACAACAAAGTCTTGATTTGGGGCGGGTTTTTTGTAGCCAAAATTGTGCTTGAAGTTGTCCAGTTCCCCATGTATGTGCCCACTTTCAGTGGAAGGTGCACCTGCATCTTAGGGGATTGTCTTCATCGTTTCGTCTGCATGATGCTGCATTGCGGGGCGGTTCCTGTGTATGCGCTTAGCTGTTGATAAAACAGGATTTTAGGTTGATCATGAAACTGAGATTGTACTCACATGCCGTCCTGTTGTAGGGTGCCTCTGCTGTCTGTTGCCCGAAGAGTTTTGTTAGGTGAAGCTGGTGTTGGTGCTTCAGTCTCTGGGTGCCCTCTTTATGAGTAGTGAACAAATGAGTCTGTACATCACAAGCAGAATAAAGTTTTGCCTTTTTTGTTTTTTAACCAGTGAAATGATGAGCAAGAGCTGCTCAAATTCTGAGGGACAGTCCAAACTTGGGATTTACTTTTTCTTAATAGAAGTAGCACTGAGGTGGTGCAGCTGAAAAGATGGTAGCAGAGAGACCTTGGTTCTTGCCGTTGATCTTTTCAGGTGAAACTTGATTTCCTGGGCAAAATACAGACGAACTTCCCTGTCTGTAGTCCCTAAGCTCAGCAGTTCAAAAAAAATGCAGCGAGGAGGTGTTCAAACAGGCCCTGCTGCCTTTGCTGTCAACTGTGCTATTTTAATGTCAAAGATGCACAAATATCTCCTTTTCTCATTACGTTTTAGGCATGGCTGGAGCTATTCACTTCCTCTCAGATATTTCGGTACCGGAGACTTCCCAGTTTCCAGCTTTTGAACTTGGACCTCAAAGGAGAGAAAACAAAGTGGAACAGGACAGCTAAAAGACGATTTTGAAAGGAAACTGATGCCAAAAGAGATGAGACTGTTTAGTGCCTCTGATACTGAACCAACTCAGCTCTGAACCGACAGATGGATAGACCGCTTTTCTCACCCCTCCCTGCCCCAAAGGACCGTGAAGTCATTAGAACATGAATGGGAGCAGCCACATTTAAGTTCTGGTGAAGTGACACCTGCAGACGTAGGACAAGAGAAGTCGTGTGTTGAACTTTCTCCCCTCCGTTGTGTTTGTCTTCTTCAGGTCTTTGACATGCTCTGCATGTTTATTGGTGTTGTCTGTTGATTCGAGTCTTTTGTTGTTAGCAAAAAGCTGGTCCCCGCGTGAGTCCCCGTCCCGCCCCTTCGCGCATGGCTCGCGACAGCAGTGTTGCTTTCTGCAGCGGCGTTACCTAGAGAGTTCCACCTTATGCCAGAGAGTTCGCTGCAGGACAGTGTCCAGCTTCGCTGGTGAGCCGGCAACTTAGAGATGAAAAACGTTTTTGTGTTCATATTTTTCTGCATTTTTCTCCACAGTCCCTAGAAGGTAAGGTGATGGAGGTGAGCCTCTTTTGATGAAGAGGTACGAGGCCATCTCAGTTTTCAGAAACTTAGCAGGTTGGAAGGGACCTGGCTTGTCTTTTGCTGCTGTTGCGGGGGTTTTTTTTGAAAGCCTGAGGAGAGGCTCCCTTTGACACCTGCACCTGGTTCGCGTGTTAGGCGTGTACTGCAGGGTGGAGGTGCTTGTCCCCACCTCTGCAAAGCCCCATCCCGTGGCATAAGCTGAACAAGCTGAAGGTGGAGTCACCCGTACCGACGTCCCGCTGCCGCCAAGAGCAGAACGGGGAGAGCAGAACTGTGCTGCTCCTCTCCTGCAGGCAGATTTGCGAGAAACCTGTCCTTCCTGCGGCATCTAGAGTACGAATGAGGAAGGGAGGGCGTCGGGGCAGTCTCTCGTGCTGGTAACTCGAGGTGAGCGCTGGTTCCGCACCAAGGCAGCGATTTGTGGGCCAGCTGCGGAGCGCAGTCGGGCTTGGAAATGCGTTGCTGCTCCTGCATGAATCTCGGAACAGTGGCGGGTGACTTCCTTGAGCTTTGTCGTGTCTGTTGGCCAGACCCACTGGGACGTTAATCATCCCCAGACTGGGTTCTGCTGGGCGGCAGCAGCGGGGCCAGGGGAGGGGGCGCGTCGTGGTACGGGGGGG